GGGGGGGGGGGGGGGGGGGGGGGGGGGGAGAAGTTTGCATGCCCTCGCGTGTGCACACATAGACACTCATAAGTCACGATCATGAAGAGAAAACGAAGCCTATGGAGATTCTATGGAGAAACAAAGATAGTGGTGTACATAACGGCATATAATGGCTGTAACACATACTATCAGTTTGAAGAAGAAAGCACACGGCGTTGCAAAGCATTGCAGTTCTCTTTGTGGGAGGAGGGGATGAAGACAGTGCCAACACTCCTTTAGTTTACAAAATACATAATTGTATGTGTGAACGACACAACAATTGGAATGTACTTAACTATGGATCTAGCATACTTTTCAGCAGAGGGAAAAGGAAGCTGTTTATACTGTTGGTGAGACTCGACTCGACTCTAGATCATGCTTGGGTTTAGGCAACCGGGAAAACTTAACGGAAATTCATCAATATGAAACTTTGAGGAGCTGCCTAAACAGGCTGAACAAAGTGGTGCATTGCTTTAAATCATTATAGGTGACAATTTGGATCGAGGATCATCTGCTATGCTATTGGACTGACAAGATCATGTTAGTTCGAATGAAGTAGTCAGAATACATAGGATTAATGGCACTTTGTATCCTTACAAATTTGGAATATCTCAATTTATTCCCCTACCCCAAAAAATGGATCATTTTGTGCCCTTCATCTTTAAAAGATGTTATTGGGATATATTTTTGTAGATGTTAGATTATTAGTGAGTCACATTATTGAATGCACTCTATTATCAATTCAAAGATTCCAATGCATTATGTCCCCATAACATTAGGAGAAGAGAATAATAATATTTTTTTTTGGCACAAAGTTTTGCATTGAAAAAAATGTCTTCTACTTATATGTATATGATTTTTTTTAATGGTCAGAGATGTTCGATCCAATTTACGCGTAACTTGATTAATCCTTTTCCTGGTCTGGTCATCTATGTTGATATTAAAATATTTATAAGGAATAAATCTCTCATAATTTGACCTCATAAGATTGTCAAAATTCTAATTCCAAATGTATGAGTTGTTACCTTTTAAAACTATTACTAAATGGTAAAACAAAAGCACAACTTATATCAATACAAATAAAAACCAATTTTGAACCAAATTTATAGGAAGAACAGTCGTCGAACACAATTTTTTTCATTAAGAATCTCAAACAACAAACTTCTGGTTGCAGCAGGTGCTACATAACACCACATTCGTTCTTTTTTCGGTTTCCCAAGGTATCCCTAGGCTTTGCCCAGGAATAATCCTCCGAGGTACGGTCGGGCGACCTCTCCCAGTACATGAAATAACACAATTTTGGCCTTCACGAGCTGCTGTTTTTGTTATTGTTATCACCTATTACCATTGCACTGTTTGTCTGGCTCAGTAAGCTGCTTATAGATCTAGCTTTCACCATCCCGAGCTTCATCCTCTTCTTCCTCACCATCAATGGCTTCTTATTCTCGTCTTCGCCGCCGTCCTCATCATTATCAGCAAGTACCAGTCTTTTCTCCCTCTGCTTCGCCTTCTCAGACAACAATGGGCTCGATAACTCTTCCGACTCATCTTTGTTAGTCACATTAGGATCATTTGTATCCATGGTTTGATTTCGAACACTAGCCATGCTTCTAAGCCTTCCTTTACCCAAGTGATGTTCACATAAAGAATAGCCCACAAGGGTCGGCTGGCAACATCTCCATCCCCTCCCATTAACGCGGCTGCACCGCGATCCTTCCATGATCACACTACCTCTCTTGCACTTCTTTGCGATTGCACCATTATTCTTAGTGCTGTTCTTGGTTTCCTTCCCTTCGGGTTGTTCTTCACCATTTTGCAGCACACAATTTTTGTTAGTTTTCGACTTCATTCTAACCTTCATCTTCTTCTTCCCATGATCCATTATCGCCTCTTCTCCCATACTCCTTTCGAAGCTGAGTATTCTCTTCTTAAAAGGAACAACTTTATCTCGATCACACCACCTCCCAACTACTGTAGTACAATTCCAAGTGCACAACCAAACAAAAACGAATAAAAGCATTCAAAAATGGTAGTGATTAATACTGTTTACCTTATAGTTAATTTTTTTTTAATTTTTTTTACCTTGATGAGAAGAACCTGATGGTAGCAGAACCTCAGCAACTACTTCTGCACCTATTATGTGTCCCTTCCTAGAAACAAGACAGACCCAGATGATCCAGAACCACAAACAGCAAGTTTTCAGCTAAGAAATAAAAATGCAAATAAATATATAGTGCCATATACAGCAAGATATGTGAAAATGGGGACCAGCATCGCATGCTAACATGCACCATATTAAGCATTTTTTCCCAATATGGAGAAAAAAATAAAAGACTATAGACAGATTGGATTAGATGGGGGATGGGTTTGGAAGGTATATGGTGGCTTGCCAAAGCTGATACAGAAACAGCATAAATAGTATATCCACTTACTCTTACTGCTTATTTTTTTGTGCAATCAAGTTATGGTGATTGTGTCTCTATTTCTGTTTCTCTCAAATCTTCACCTTTTTACTTCAAGAGTTCACGAAAAAAAGAGAACAACAAAGAGTAACTTTTCTTTATTATTCTTACCTTATGTCATTATTCTTCTCATCCTCTCTCCATCTCTCATCTTTAACCTCTTCACCTTCCAGGTATTCCTGCAAAAATCAAAAGAAATATAAGATCTATATATCATTGGTATACCTAATGCAAACCTTGTAGGTGCAGATTTAGAATAAGACCCATATTTTGGGCCAATCAAAAAAGGTAATTGGTGCAGTTGAATATGAATAGACCAACAAAAAAAAATACATGATATTCCCACCAACCAAACCTACCTTTTGGTTCGACTTCTGTTCATCGCCAGTACCAGAGCAAACCCATTTGGGTTTTTTGATTCCGATCATTGTGTGCTGACCGGAGGACGGTGGGAGAGGCCGATTTGGAGGATTGATCGGCTGAGAATCAGTTTTAGCCTCTAACACAAGAAGACTTGATTGTGGGTACAGTTCTATGCTACTGCTACCTTGTAGGTGGTGCTGCACCACCGGTGACCGGTGGTGTTGGGGATCTAAGTCAGGGTATGAAGAGAGAGAAGATGATGAAAAACGTTTCCTGATTCTCATAACTGTGTGATATATGTGTAGAGACTAGACTCTAGATAAAGAGAGATTTGATAGAAGAATTAGACCAAGAACAGGAGAGAAACGACCCTATAATGTCTGATTGATTGTTAAAGAGAAGCGAGAGAGGATGAAAGACCACCAAGACTCTACAACCCCCCAACAAAAAATTGCTGCTTTAATAACTCTTCTTCCACTCTCTTCGTTGTTTCTCTCTCTAACTTTTATTTGTTGCACCACACAGCGCACGCGCGCACACACACACACGGATATACCATTTGAAAGGTATCGGCACGTGTGATGGGAAGGTGAGGCAAGTGTGGGGTGGACTGGTCCGAGTGCGTGGGTGACCGGCAACCGGAATCGGAGAGGAGGGGGGACAGGTACGGAAGAAGACAGGGTGGAAGAGAGAGAATATATAGAAAGATGGGGAAGGTTGGGTAGTTCTATCGTATGTACCTTTCGGAGGAGAAAATGGTGGGTCCCACTTTCAACAACGACCAAGATGCTCTTCTCATTAAAAATTACGACCTGTGTAATTATTAAATTTCATCTACGGCTAATTCTAACTTCAACGATACTGCTTAGTGTTTTTTTTTTTAAAATTTTATTACACTACCTTCTAGTTTATACCTAATTTCACCGACACCCCGACCATAATCGTTACTACAAGTTAAAAGATGTTGATGTGATTTTAGAAACTCTCGATACTACCTAAACTACCCTTGTGTCCATCTTCATCTTCTGCTTTCTTCCATTGGCAAGACCACTGCCACCATTGGCATCCAACCTGGTAACTTACCACAACCATCACCTCTAAGCTCTACCACCTCAGCTAACTCACCATACGCCTCACGTCATCCCCACCCAATTCACACACAAAATACACACTTCACATGCCAAAAGAGAGGGAGAGGGAGAGGGAAGATGTTGCACACAAAAGGAACTTTGCAAGCTGCTCAAGTCATCACGGTCGGGCTTGGGAATTGGAGACGATGGGAAATAATTGAAGATCTTAGTTGGTGGTCTAATTTTTTTCCAAACGCCAAATTACCACGTCAAAGTCTTCTCTGTCTCACATCAGAATCTTCAACAATTGAGGGGAGAGGCAAGAGGGGGAAGAGATAGTGGCCATAGAACCACTACAATGGTATACAGTAGTGAGTGAGGACGGGTCGTGGTGGGGGTATGTTGACGATAGTCATCGGTGTAGGAAAGAGGTGGTGGAAGGTAGACGGGGATTGGTGGAGATGGGTTATTGATGATCGATTGTGGGAGAGGCAGAGTGGGTACGGGTGATCGACATATTATTTCACGAAAATACTATTTGACCTTAAAAATATGACATAATTTGTTGATCTAATCCAATGATTTCATTGAAACTATTTGATTAACACCAAGTTTCAATATTTGATGGAGCCCACAGTCAATCCAAAGGTTATAGTGAATTAGGTTAACAAATTAGGTCAATAAATTAAGTCACAATAGCATTCCTCATTATTTCTCACTCTAAACCAGTATCTCTTTTTTATTTTTTATTTTTTTGGGTTTTTCACACTTTGTACCCAAAAAATATCTAGATTCTTACTTTATACTCTAAGGGTGTGTTTGGGAAAGGGGATAACCCCTAGTTGGATTGGGTTACATTGTCCGGGGGCCACAAATCCCTGATTTGGATTCATTTTTTTGAATGGGATAGTCGTTGGGCTGAAATCCTCGGCCCGTAGTCATTTCTACCATTTATCCCATCTGACCCACTTTATTGTATCCCACCATAACTTTGGAATTAGCTAGCCCAGCTACTGGATTGGGCTTGGAAATACTAAAATACCCTTGCACAGTTGCAAAAGTAGGGTTTTTACTTCTCCCCTTTTTTGTCTTCATTTTCTCATTGGTCCTGTGTTACCGCAAGCGGCACCCATTGGTCCCCATTAGAAGGTATATTTCTCTCTCTCTTTCTGTATATATATATATCTTAATCTTGCCTTGTCGTTGTTTTCCTCTNATTTTCTCATTGGTCCTGTGTTACTGCAAGCGGCACCCATTGGTCCCCATTAGAAGGTATATTTCTCTCTCTCTTTCTGTATATATATATATCTTAATCTTGCCTTGTCGTTGTTTTCCTCTCTTGCCTTGTCGTTGTCTTCCTCTCTGCATCTGTGTGTATATATATATATTTCCCTGTGTCTTCTCTTTTCTCCCTCCCAAACTGCAAATAAATGGAAAATAAAATCTAATTTACACTAAATCTACACAAAATCAATACCAGAGCCTCCTACAACTTTATTTTTTCTGGGTCTTGCAAAGGTGCTGTAAGAATGTGTAATCCCAAAGGCATGATGTATCAACTTGTTTTGTTGGTCAAAATAAAGAAGAATCAAAATCTTGGAGGAGGCACCATGCCTACTGATCCGCAAAAACGCATGAAATTTTGCTGAACAGGTGTTCATAGGTTCTCGATAGATACTTTGCTGGTGGCCTTTGGATATTTCAATCAAGAACATATGTTGGACTGTCATGTGTTTGAAATTTCAGGAGTCACCTCAATTTTTCATTATGTGGGTCAATCTTTTGAAATTTGAACCTTTGTCATGCAATACCCAGTTCATGCGGAGCTTCAAAATGCATTACCCAGTTCAATGTTTTGAAATTTTAACATTTGCCATGCAATATCCAGTTCATGAGGAGCTTCAAAATGCAGCACCAAAAATTTTACATACATTGCTAAACTCCAACATATAATGGACGAAAAAAAAATCTACAGTCCGCACTCTTCCTTCTTGTCATTAGATCCACACTCTTCCTTCTGACAATTAGGATTTCTTTGTTTTGTTAAGTGTTTGAGGCTTGTTGGTTGGTGAAATATTGTTGTCTTTGTACTTGAATTTAGATTGTTTTGCTATATGTTCTTCAAATGTAGTTATGGAATGTTGAATAAGATTAAAAGAAGAAATCAATTTTATTGATTTATTCCTACGCTTAGTTCTCGAATTCTTGTTTAATGGCTTTGTTATGCTGGTTTCTTAATAAAATTGCTATGATTTGTGTTTTTTATCCCTGAGTTGATTGAAATAATGATGAACATATTTCTATATGGCCATAGAAAATATAAAACTCTATCTTTTGTTCAAGGAGTCAATTTATATTGTCAATTCAATGATTATGAATTACTAGATCAATAATTTATGTTCAAATAATATTACTCTTTATAATTTTTATTAATTATGAAATTAATAAATATAAATCATGTCAGATGATGGGTTTCCATTGAACGATAATAGGAGTTATGATGTTAAAAAAATAATTTTTTTATAACATAATCCAATTTTTAGTATGAAATATATGAACAAAATTGTTCTCAGTATAAGTAATGCTATTTCAACTTAACAATTTGATGTAATGATGTGTCCCAATTAAAAAAATTCAACAATTACAGCTATGGTAAATATCCTCGGCCATGTTACTGTTACATATTAACAAATTAAGTCATATTGTTTTTCCCTAATAACATTATAGTCCCCAATTATATATCCTAGCACCTGTGGACAATAAAATTTCAAATAAATGTCCATGGTACTAAATAATCAATGATCGAGATTGCTATAACTAAAATTGACACGATCATTCAGACTATAAATATTTTTATCACCAAGAAGATGATGTATTCGGTGGGAGAAGGTTTTTGAAATATTTCAATCTATTGTTTGAAAGAAATGAAAGTTACAATAAAATTTGTTTAGTTGTCTAAATTATATTTAATTATATTAAATCGGTTTGAACAGTTAAAAAATATGTATGACAGCTTAATATCTATCATATTCTAACTTGAAATATTAGAGTTGTTCAAGACTTCAAGTGTATGAAAGCTGCCAGAGTTTTTAGGTAGGAAGCTAAAGTACTAGTTTTACTTACTTTACATAATTGTCCATATTTGAGTGTGAATTCTTGATACTTCATAGATAGCAAAAGGTTGTAGCTTGGATTTCAGTATTGTTACTTTGTCTATTAATCTTGAAACCAAATAATTACAATTGGGATAGTTGTATGTACCCAATAACAGAGAGAGACACAGATAAAGAGACACATTAACTCCTCATGAGGATTATTTGTATTTGTTTAATAAGTTTTCTTATTTTTTTATTATTTCTAATACAGTTGTTACGTTATTGACAGTGTCTCAAATCAAGGGTTTAACAAGCACTCTTCAGGTACCTAACTTAGAATAATTTTTTTATTTAGTTTTTTGTTATTGTGACAATATACAGTTAAAACTGTTGTGTCAAATTGTATATTAACGTTTTGACATGCTTTTCTTTACTAGTTATATGTTCACTGAGGTTAGTTGTACATTTGTTGTAATTAGAATATTATATTCTTGTGATTTATTTTGTTGGCCAAACAATATATGTTGCAATATGTTTTTTTTTAACATATCCATGTCAGGTGATAACAATGTTATTGAATTTATTTTGTTTTCATTGAATTAGGTAACCATGGACAACGAGTACGATGAATTATGTTTGTTACTTACGTTTATGCATAGGACTATTCGGGAGATGATAGTGGTGTTTAATCTTGTGGTGTCTATAATGTTGATGATATGGGACATGGAACACAATGGTACAATATCTGAGGTTCCACGACCTTTCAATAGGTCTCGGTTATAGATTGAACACTTGCATTGTCTCATTGGTGAGAGTGACATGACGTGTATAAGCCAACTTATGATGGATAGACACATGTTTATAGTACTATGTAATCTGGTCCGTGATGTTGGGCTGCTAAGACCAACTAAGCACGTAAGTGTCGAGGAGATGATGACTATGTTCTTAAGTATTTTAGGGCATGACGATAAAAATAGACCAGTTAAGTTCAATTTCTTGTGCTCTGGTGAGACAGTTAGTAGACATTTCAACAATGTCCTTACTGCGGTGTTAAGACTACGCAGGCTATTGCTTTAGACGCCTGAACCAGTGCCCGAAAACTGTACAGACCCTAAATGGAAGTGGTTTAAGGTAATCACCATTTAACATTCAAGTCAATATTGATTTTTACACCATATAACATGGATTTTTTTATTTCATACATCTTTATAAACTTATTTACTCACTTGCCTTTGTAGAATTGTGTGGGGCATTAGATGGCACATATGTTCCTG